AATACAACCTTTGGTCAAAGCAAGGTATGAATAAAGTCACTGGTTTTATTGAGCAGCTCAAACCAGTTCTCAAGGCAACTGTCAGAGGTGTTCCAAACAGCGTGTGAGCAATGTGCAGCCTCCCACAAAGGCTTTAATGGTACACACTTTAATGTGCCCTTATTCTTTGTTAAGTCAGGCCCCTGTAAATGCATTTACTTCACATATACTTACTTGCAAGTAATAAAACAATACAGGCTTTTCAGTAATTCAGCCTAGGTTTTGGCTCAAGTTAAGTCCATATGTGTGAGGTTTGCTTATTCACTGACTGGATTACAAAAATAGGAGGTCTCAAGATACCAGAAAATGTATTCATAGCCAGAAATAATAAAGACTTCTTATTCTCTTGAAATGGGAAATTTTATATTTCCATAATCAAAGTAATAAACAATTTTGAAAGGTTTTTTTAAAAAAGTAATTGAGAATTTTGATGAAATTCATTTATTTCAGTAGAATAAACAATAAGCAGCATGAAAATGTAAAGTGCTACATAAAAGCCCCACAATACATACAGTTGGAAAGGCTGCATTGGCCTGAACAGTTACAGATGAAATAGGTATGTTTTCAAGCACGCTATTTCAATACTTTGAAATGTAGTCATGGGCTAGGTTGGTCAAGAAAAAAGCCACAAGTCACCAAAATCTAAGGATTGAGGGAAGGAGTCCAAAACCTTCATCTACCAGATCAGACATCTGTTTTGGCCTTATGCTGTATTTAAGGGGTTAAATAGGGCTTTAAAGATAGTTTTCTGATGAAGCTCTTCAGGTGAGGGTTGAGAAAGAATGGCCCCAAAGATCAGTTTTGCTTATTAACTCCACAATGGAGGTCAGGTTGACAAGGATTTTTAGGTAGCATGTAAGCTGAAAGAGGAGCAAAAAAGGATGCCACTTTCAGATACGCGTATCAGGGGCTAAAAAACCCAGGACAACCGAGGAGGCCTGTCAGCTGATGGCTGCGGGAAGAGAGGCAAATGAGACAGAGAAAGATCTGCATAATGCAAAATCTGCTTGGCTTTATCAGTTTTAAAGTACAGGTTAACACCCCATGGAACCATGCAACAAAATCATATAAATCCAGAGGTTGACTCAAGTCTGACTGAGAGAAACAGAGGGAAGACTGTTCGTAGCACATGATTAATCTCACACAGGTCGACAGCACAGGGACTTCTTTCTTCTCAGGTGATAACACTGCCTGGTCTTCCCAGAGGGGTCAGTGACCTCTTGCCAGGACACCACAGACCAGTGAACCAGTATTTCTAAAATCTCGTGTTCCAAACCAAGACTTCAGAATGTACTTTCTCATGGCAATAAAGTTATAAAATGGTAACCTACAATTTCCCTGACATATGAGGTCTTCATAAAGTCCTTGGGCTTTTTAGACCCAACTTCAGCTGTAGATACAACAGAAACAATCTGTAAATACTTTTAAAATGCTTATTTATTAAAGTTAAGTATACAACTCTGTATTATATAATGGTACACAATTAGGTTCTTATTTTAAATGCAGACATAAAAGAACTGGCTCTAAGATGAAAACAGAAATTGTGTCTGAATTAATAGAACCAAAGGCCAATAGCAAGAGTAAAAATTGAATTTGCTTTTAAAATCATTTTACAAATTGTTTCTATCTTGCCCATAATTTCAGTTAGCTAAAACCATATAAGGACTTTATGAATACTATCCCCCAAAGTATTCAAGATTCATTATGGACTAACTTCTGCGGACTTGTCTAAAACCTAAAACACTTATAACATTGAGTTACAAAAAAAAATTAACACAAATGCACTTTTACAGCATAACATATTTGAAAACTGGGGACTGCCTGCATTTAAAAAGTATATTTTCATTAATAATACTCTCAATAATGCCCTTAATGCTGCAGCTAAATATGCTGAAGGCAATGTTTACCTGTGATTATATGTTCTCGGCAGGCATTCTGATGATGAAATTATCTACTAAGAGTCTGTAAAGCTGACTAGCATTAAGTTATATATTGATTTTGCACTGAAAATTATTTCTTGGGCTTTGATTAGGTGGGCAATTCTAAGTAGGGGTTTTTCTAATTTCTTTCACTGTTACTTAGGCCCTGAGCTTTTCTATTAAAATGGTACATGAAGTATATCAACATTATGCATATTCCTGAAATAATTAAATTTGTACTGATTACAAAGCTAGGCTTATAATACATCTCAAAATAGACAATTCAGAGCAGAGCAAACATTAAAATCTTAAGATTCTCCCACTTAACTACTGGAAGAAAATCAAGAATTGGTTTGGACTGGACCTTTCCTCCCTTAAACAAAGATCGATGGAGGATTGTTTTCTTCCTTTGTGAATCTTGTATGTATACTGAAGGGATAACAGCATAACAAAGTGGTTACAATGCATTATTCTCTAGTCAAGTAACATCCAATAACAAAGATATAATCTCATTTCCTCACAGATGTTTGAATGAAACAGCTACTTTCACTGAAGACTGTTTACAACACAAAGTTATAGAATGGGCAATCCCAGTATGTTTCTTGAATGATATTTTAAGAAAGTTATTTGACGGGTTTTATTTTCCCTTTTCAACTCATATCCCTATTTCATTCTACAGAAACAGAGTACTCAATAACTGGCATTGAGTAACTAGTAATACTCACTGGAGCTTAAAACACCATCTTTTATCCAAAATGTCTAAGGGCTATACAGAAGAGTATCACAAATTTACATAAAGAAAAGTCAAGGCATGAGAAACAACAGTAAACTCTATCCCTGTAGAACAGGTCATTGGGTGGGACAAGGGACTTCAACTTCCAGTCTCTTAAACTAAGCAGGACAAGTCTGAATGTCTAGTTATATTTATACTGAAGTTATAAGGATCAAAAAAGGAATGAAGGGTAAGTAGAAAATAATCTTTTTGTAAACAATTCTTAGATTATACCCAATGCAGAATGTTTAATGAAGCAGTTGAGTCACAGCTCTTAAGACACAAAACAATATTATAATTCAAAGTCAAATATGTACTCATTGGCCAGATATATTCGCCGGAATATAAGAGCTGCCAATGCCAAAGTCAAGATGACAATCAGTACGGCAGATCCACCGTGATCAGTGTGGTGGCCTCTTGGCTGCTGGCCCTGGCTTACATCTGGTGAAGCAGACGACCTTCTTTGACTCTGCTGCTGCGCCCGGCGTTGTCGAGGGCTCATGGAGGTATTCTTAACTGCAGGTTGGGCAGGTTGTTGAAGGGAGGCTGCCGAGGGGTTCTGGACTCCATACTAGGAAGTTTTTAGAAATTGTGCTTAAAATTGGCCAAGAAAACTTGTATAATACCCGTTATCTATTCAAAAGTATGCAGAATCTCAAAGCACTAAATATGACCCAGGGCAAAACTACCAAGAATTACCTGAATGACCCTCGTGAGTAAGCCAGCAACACAACTTACTCTAAGTACTCACCAGGTGGAGGAGGAACTCAGCAGCCACAAGACAAGGACACAGTTTACCCACATTGTCCACATGCGGCTTTGCGCTCTTCCTGAGCTGCAACCCCAGCAGTACCTGCTGGGCATCTGGGCCCCACCCTTCTTTCAGGAGAGCCAGTGGGTGAGGCAGTTTGATTTCTATTTTCTGCTTGAACATTTGCCATGATAAATGGCAAAAAAGGCAACTCTCAACAGTGTGCCTTTCATGACCCAGGTTTCTTTCAATATTATCTTACTACATCATCATGCTTCCACCACCAATCACAGAGCCTAAGAAATAATTTCAAATTGTGCATTCTTCATAGCAATGTTGTTGTAAAAATTAGTTACATTGAGTTACAAAAAAAAATTAACACAAATGCACTTTTACAGCATAACATATTTGAAAACTGGGGACTGCCTGCATTTAAAAAGTATATTTTCATTAATAATACTCTCAATAATGCCCTTAATGCTGCAGCTAAATATGCTGAAGGCAATGTTTACCTGTGATTATATGTTCTCGGCAGGCATTCTGATGATGAAATTATCTACTAAGAGTCTGTAAAGCTGACTAGCATTAAGTTATATATTGATTTTGCACTGAAAATTATTTCTTGGGCTTTGATTAGGTGGGCAATTCTAAGTAGGGGTTTTTCTAATTTCTTTCACTGTTACTTAGGCCCTGAGCTTTTCTATTAAAATGGTACATGAAGTATATCAACATTATGCATATTCCTGAAATAATTAAATTTGTACTGATTACAAAGCTAGGCTTATAATACATCTCAAAATAGACAATTCAGAGCAGAGCAAACATTAAAATCTTAAGATTCTCCCACTTAACTACTGGAAGAAAATCAAGAATTGGTTTGGACTGGACCTTTCCTCCCTTAAACAAAGATCGATGGAGGATTGTTTTCTTCCTTTGTGAATCTTGTATGTATACTGAAGGGATAACAGCATAACAAAGTGGTTACAATGCATTATTCTCTAGTCAAGTAACATCCAATAACAAAGATATAATCTCATTTCCTCACAGATGTTTGAATGAAACAGCTACTTTCACTGAAGACTGTTTACAACACAAAGTTATAGAATGGGCAATCCCAGTATGTTTCTTGAATGATATTTTAAGAAAGTTATTTGACGGGTTTTATTTTCCCTTTTCAACTCATATCCCTATTTCATTCTACAGAAACAGAGTACTCAATAACTGGCATTGAGTAACTAGTAATACTCACTGGAGCTTAAAACACCATCTTTTATCCAAAATGTCTAAGGGCTATACAGAAGAGTATCACAAATTTACATAAAGAAAAGTCAAGGCATGAGAAACAACAGTAAACTCTATCCCTGTAGAACAGGTCATTGGGTGGGACAAGGGACTTCAACTTCCAGTCTCTTAAACTAAGCAGGACAAGTCTGAATGTCTAGTTATATTTATACTGAAGTTATAAGGATCAAAAAAGGAATGAAGGGTAAGTAGAAAATAATCTTTTTGTAAACAATTCTTAGATTATACCCAATGCAGAATGTTTAATGAAGCAGTTGAGTCACAGCTCTTAAGACACAAAACAATATTATAATTCAAAGTCAAATATGTACTCATTGGCCAGATATATTCGCCGGAATATAAGAGCTGCCAATGCCAAAGTCAAGATGACAATCAGTACGGCAGATCCACCGTGATCAGTGTGGTGGCCTCTTGGCTGCTGGCCCTGGCTTACATCTGGTGAAGCAGACGACCTTCTTTGACTCTGCTGCTGCGCCCGGCGTTGTCGAGGGCTCATGGAGGTATTCTTAACTGCAGGTTGGGCAGGTTGTTGAAGGGAGGCTGCCGAGGGGTTCTGGACTCCATACTAGGAAGTTTTTAGAAATTGTGCTTAAAATTGGCCAAGAAAACTTGTATAATACCCGTTATCTATTCAAAAGTATGCAGAATCTCAAAGCACTAAATATGACCCAGGGCAAAACTACCAAGAATTACCTGAATGACCCTCGTGAGTAAGCCAGCAACACAACTTACTCTAAGTACTCACCAGGTGGAGGAGGAACTCAGCAGCCACAAGACAAGGACACAGTTTACCCACATTGTCCACATGTGGCTTTGTGCTCTTCCTGAGCTGCAACCCCAGCAGTACCTGCTGGGCATCTGGGCCCCACCCTTCTTTCAGGAGAGCCAGTGGGTGAGGCAGTTTGATTTCTATTTTCTGCTTGAACATTTGCCATGATAAATGGCAAAAAAGGCAACTCTCAACAGTGTGCCTTTCATGACCCAGGTTTCTTTCAATATTATCTTACTACATCATCATGCTTCCACCACCAATCACAGAGCCTAAGAAATAATTTCAAATTGTGCATTCTTCATAGCAATGTTGTTGTAAAAATTAGTTGTGGTTTTCAGAGCAGGCTTTCTCACAACTCCTATCAACTGAACTGAACACAAGTCTAGAAGAACCCTTTACTGTGTGCTTGAACTGCGTTCTTTATGTATGGTAAGCATGAACTTTTTTACTTGACGTTGTCAAGAGTTATCCGGTTATGCACTGAGAAAAATTTGGAGGTAGTTGTGGGAGATTCAGTGTATCCTCTATTTGGTGTATTAATTGCCCCACAAAGCACTGGATGTCAACTGTTTTCTGTCCTTTCAATGCCTGCTTCGTCAAGTATAACCAAACTGTGGTACCAAGTGATTCAAAATCTAAATGGGGTTTACTGACAAGAAAATTCTATAAAGTATGAATTCCTTTTTATTTATATAGATGCCTTAACTCTACCTCTAATAACCCAATGGCCTTTAATTCTTTTACTGAGAACTTTATACTGACTATATTAGTGCCAATATACATTTTTTTCAAAAAAATAAGAATGCATCTTTTATTCAGAATAACTTGAAAAACTGAGTAAATAAAAAACATTTAAAATACTTTCCACTAGAGAAAATGTCAGTATTTAGAAAAAAAGGTATTAAATAATGTATTTCAAATATGTTTTTTAAAAAGATTATAGGATGGGCTTTTTCTTGGCAATAGCTATAAACCTTAGGGGGAAAATTGCTGGTATAAGTTACCTGCAGAAGAAATTACATTTTCAGTATGACATTCATTTCAACATTAAAATGTACAAAAAATCTGAGTACTTAAAACTATTCTTTGGAAGCACTCAAATGTAGTGAGTGACCTGTAATAGAGGTAGAAAGGAACTATAATATTTTTAACTATTTCAGTTAAAAATTAAAGTTAGCACTGATACTGAATTAGAGTTGCATGAACTTGGGCTTCATACACCAGGACTCCCAGAAGCAATGTGCTAATTGAAAAGAGCAGATACACAACAATGCTGCAGCATTTTATGAGATCTTTCTTCCTTTGTAACAGGCATCATATAACGACCTAATATTCATTGAGATGAAATGAGTTATAGCAGCCAATACAAAACACTCCATTTGAAATCTCTCATTCTTCCAACTACTCAGCCAAGAAAATAAAAGTGAGCAAAAGTACTCAAAGCTTACAGGAAAATGGGTCCTTAAGGAAAATAAAAAACATGATGGTGCTATCAATCCAGAAACTAACACAAGAGACTGACTTAAAGCTTTTGTTCTGAACATGTTATTTTTCCCACAGATTTGAGGGAAGAACACTAACCTGCCATGTAACTAAAACGGAGTCTCATCATTACTAGGCTGCTTTGCAGATGTGAGACTCTATGCAAGTTAACCTAAGTCATCTGTACAGGTGAGGGCAACATCATTTCCGTAGTAGTGAGGATTAAACATTGGGATAATGATAGAACATGCTTAAGATATACAACTGCTTATTAAATGCTAGTTATTATTAATATTGTTACTAGTTGGAGACACTATATTTAGGTTAAAAAAAATGTCTTAGGACAGGTTTTCAGACCTTTATCAGTATCATTAATGTATTTAGAACAACAATCCCTTAAAACACTGACTTCAGATATTTTAGTAAATGCACTTAATGGAAATATTTATATAGATATGCTTTAATTAGGCTCATGTATTTGAGATGCCTTTTGAATGGTATTATTACTAGCTACAACCTAGTGCTATGATACTATAAATTTCTAAGAATTTTCCTATTTAAAACAACCACATCAAGAGAAAACTATAATGACCCCAAGGGCAAAGACTCGGTGGAACCTAGATTATTTGGAGTCGAAGGACAATTGCACTAAATTTTGGTAGTTCATACTGAAATTCCAGACGGAGAATCAAATTCACTAACATTTTCAAAATGCTATAGATTTGGTGGTAGAAATTCTAAATCTTTGCTGTTTGCCTTAACTTGTCCAAACACACATATCACAGAACAAAGATTTATGTCATAAGTTTCCATTTCCTTAATTAAGACAAAGCAACCATTTCTAAGAAGATGGAAGTATGTGACATTTGTATTTAATTTTAATTAAATCTAATTTAAATATTAAAAAGACTAACCTCAGGGAAAGGCAGTATATACAGGGAAGACAAGTAATGATTCTATAGCATCTTATTACACTGATGGACAGTTACTGTAATGGGGTATGTGGGGGGGGACTTGATAATGGGGGAAGTCTAGTAACCATAATGTTGTTCAAGTAATTGTACATTAACAATATCAAAATAAAAATAATTAAAAAAAGAGACTAATCTCAATCACAGATAAATCCCTTGTAATACATATCAGTTTTTCTATAATAATCTAGTAACAAGCACCTGTGAGGGAGTTTTCTGTTTGCTTTTTAATACAAAATGGAATGGCTTATTCAGAATCTCAATCCCTGGGAAGAGGAAAAAAATCTGACAGACTGGAAGAACATAAAAGTACTATCAGTATTTTTCCCATATCTACATAACTAAAGAATCTACATCAAAAGTTACCAGATGGTCTGATGTTATCTGCAGTATTTAGATTTTGGGCAATCTCTCACCCCCTCAAGGCTAAAAAAATATAGCTTATCTGGGATTTGATGTATAACATTTTAGTAAATTTATATTTATGTTACACTTGCATGCCTCCCCCAGCCAAAACCAGGTTTCAGTTACTTCCACAGTGTTCAAATTATATAATCACACTGAGATAATTTACATGTAAATGTAATTAAAAGCTTAACTTGCAATTGTAGACAATTTTTGCTTGTCATTGTTTTAACAAGAATTGATGTCAATCCATTACCTGTGCCTATAAAAAAGAATTCTAGAAAAAAATGAAAAGAATTCTAGGGTTCATGAAGTTTTACATACTTTAAAATCAGAATGTACTTTAAAATCAAAATACAACAGTAATAATATTATTGTTTGTACTATTTAATTTACTCTTTTTTATTTCTTTACCTGTATTCCTAGTATGTTTTAAAAGTGCCAACTCTAAATTCATTTATTCAATCAACAAACATGTATTGACAGCTACTGTATACAAGGCACTATGCCAGGCCCTAAGGACACAGTACAGTAGAGAGGCTTGATCCTCAAGGAACTTAACATTTGGGGTAGTGAGATAGAGAATAATTAATTATAAAATAAGTTACAACTGGAATATACAACAGGGGGACCTGACATAGATTTAAAATAAACTAGAGACAGATTTAAATACATCACAAGCATTAGGAGAGCATCCTTATGGGTGGAAAAAGTTCATCACACTCCTCTCCATAATAGAATGGTTCTTTTTAAAAACTATTTGTGAAGTCTAAAAGTGAAAAGTAATAAGATTTTTTTTTAGTATTTCAATCTAAAACCTACAGTGATTATTCATTACATCCCTCTGCAATTACATGGGGATTACCTCAAAACGAATTTAACCCTCATCCCCCACCTATATACTCTCTCTTGACTTCCTCCAACCTGCTTCCCTCTGCCCATCTCCCTCTCTGAATAGGAGAACCACTCAGGACTATTTAGTCCCACTTTATAGTAGTTATTCTTAGGTAAAAGGCAAATCTGTATTTGCTCAGCTTCTATTTTAATTTTCTTGACCTTTTAAAATCCTCTATAAACTGGATGGGGGGGAAGATATGGCTACGCAACCATACAGCATGTTACCCAAAGACAGTTCCATCTTTTATATAAAGTAAGTCAATGTTTTTTCCTAAAATCCTTATTATTTGGCAATAATCCAGTTACATTTTCTTATTCAGTCTCTCTGATGACCTAGGTCCACCAGTAGTTAGACAAAATATCAGGGCACAACTAACAAGACCCACAGCATTCATTTAATCTTTTACTTAATAAACATTTATTGGACACTTACTATGTATATGGCAGGGTGTTTATAGAGAACGTTTTGAAATAATGACAATGTTCAATATCTGTGCTGTCCAATATGGTACCACTAGTCACATGTGGCTATGGATAACTTGAAATGTGGCCAGTGTGACTCAGGAACTGAATTTTAAATTTAGTTCTGAATGACTTAAATATAAATTTTGAGAGCATGTGTGACAAGTGGCTTCTACTAACAGCAGATTTAAGGCAAATCTTTGGTTCCAGGCCTTTAAGTCAGTGCCTTAAAATAGCTTAATCAACCTGCCAAATACAGAGTGTCTATTCGGAAAGTGGCTAATGTATGTATATTTTGTTTTATTCAGAGTCTAGCACTATAATGAAACTAACTTTTTAGAGAAATCACCGAATTCTAGAGGGACAATAGGACCTAAAAACTATTTAGTCCAGCCCGTTTAACAGAAAAGAAGGCCCAGAACATATGAATAATTTGCTTAGGATAATATAATTCATTAGAGGAACAGCTAGACTAGAATCCAACCGCTAGGAGAAGGAAAATAATCAGACATCATCTAGAGATCTCCCCCTTCTATTGAAAACAATGATAATGATATAAAAGATACATGTAAAAGGCAAGGGCCATACCGATGTACTGGCTGTAGCACCCTGGAATGTTGTAGGTATATCATCCTGTAAATCATTTATTGAAAAAGAGTGGTTGAAGTCTGACTCAGCAATAGTCTTTCCAGATGAATTGACTTCTGCCTATAAAAAAGATACACCCAAGAGCAGTTACAAGAAGAATGTACAAAATAACTCACAACCTAAAAAATCCTCTCATGGATTTATTTTAATTGCTACTTTAATATCAACTAACAGCAGTCAAGCATTCAACACTGGTGTCCGACGCTGTGTGAGGTGTTCCCGGAAGATGCACAGACACACCTGCTCTCCAGGAGCTGCTTCTCGGGGGGAGGAGAACTAACGCTCACGGTTCACAGTCCACAATTCCAACGAACCTCTAAAACCCAGCTTTCTGGGATTTTCAGGCAGTGTCTGACATGACAGGCTTTTATCCCACATTACAGTTTTTATCCTACATTAGTGTAAATTCTTCCAGGTTTGCAGAGGAAATAGTAATAGATTTGATTATGAGGTGCTGCCCCAAATCCCACTCTGGGTATTAACATACAGTATATGCTTGATATTTCCTAAAATCTGAAATTCTGATCTACAAAACCCACCTGGCCCAAAGACTTTCAGAGAATAATTTTAAGTACAATAGGGATCCTCAGGAGAAAGAAAATAACCAACTCTTTTCTATTAAGCACTGTTGTTCCAGGCGTCAGACCAAACAGAAGGGAAGACTTCTCCCAAGAACTGGAAGGGGAAGGGCAGGCCGGCCGCACAGGCCCCGGGGGAGCCCGCAGCCGCCCGGCGGGCAGTTCCTAGTGGGGCTGAATTCCAGAGGTAGTTCTGTTTAGGTGAAATACATGTGGAAAAAAGGACATGAAGGGGATATACCAAAATACGAATTGCAGTATTTCTGTGGGATGGGATTATGCATGATTGTTAGTTTCTTCTTAGTGCTCATCTACATTTTCTGTAATAGCTAAAATTTATTAAGTACCAGGGACAGTTCTGAATACAATACATTTAAATATTAACTTAATCCTCATAAGAATCCTACAAGATAAGTGACATTTTTTTATTAACAGATGAGAAGAAGGCACAGAGTCGTTAATGACATTCTGTCTGATGTCCGAGCACTAATACGCAGCAAGCTGAGAGCTGAGCCTGGCATTGTACGCCAGAGTTCAAGTTTTTAACCACATGCTACATGTCTTTGTGAATGTGTACTATTAGTTCTGTAATAAGAAAAACTTATTTGTATAAACCTTTTCCAATAGAACTATATTGCTTTACCTTCTATCCAGAATTTGGCAGTAAACAAAAAGACTACAAAATTAGAATTTATGAATTTAGAATACCTTAAAACTGATTTGTCTAGCCAGTTCCTTGGCTTCTTGGTCAGCCTGGCTTGAGTCGCTTCCAGATTTTAAAGGCAACAGGATGTCCTTCATGGTGGAGCCACATCCCTCACAACAGAAATCTTGTGATCTGGTAGGAAATAATTTTTTTTGATGGGAATATATCAAATACTTAATTGAATTGAATTTGCGTGTAAGTGAATACTTGTTAATTCAAGACACTCACATACTGATGACATTTTTTTAAAAAGAACACTGGATAATTCCGTATCACATACACCTATATGTAAATTTGACAATTATGGCAATAATTGAAGTTCTGAGACAAATACACAAGTTAGGCTGGTATTTTTTTTTAAAAGACAAACACTATGTTGATTATATCTCAATTTTTAAAAAAATCTAAAATTAAAAAAATGTCCAGGGCTTAGATTGATCTTTTTCCAATATCTAAATAAAAATAAGCTTTAAATGTATATGACAAAGTATGTAAATTGTCAAACTACAATGCCCTCAAGATCATACAGTCTATTTTAAGCTTGTATAAAAAAGTCAATTATAAAACTTGAATTATCTTTAGTAGAAATATACATAAAAGAAGACAATTAAAAATAGAATTTACAGGTATTTCCAGGATAACAAATAATAAAAAATAAAAATAACAAATCTTATTCATCGAAATAGCAGTACAACTTGAAAGATGGAAAACTCATTGAAAATCCAGAAACTATGAAATTTATCACTCATTATATTAAGTAGAGACTCAAGATAAGTCTGTCAACTAGGCTATTTCCTAAGATTTATTTGTTTTTCTATGTTTTCATTTTTCTACTTTGTACTCCAGAAACAGCCAAAAGTACCTTAATGCTCAAAAGAGTGCTAGGGATTTGCATAACTAGAAGTAAAAATGTGTAATATATAGAAATATGTATTGTAACATTGCTGAAATTCTTTCTAAGAAATTATTTTATCGTAGTTCTAGTTTAACGTAATAAAAGCCTTAGATCTTAAAAAACATGCTATTTAAATTTAATAAATAACTTCTTGAAAATAAAATATATGTAAAAGCATTAATTTAGTTTTGTTGAGTATTTTTTGTTTCACCAAAAGCAGCATATGTTGTCCATATATTTTTGAAAATCAGTTGCATCCAAATTATTTGCTTTGAAATATGTCCACTTTTAACTGAGAAGTCAGATGAAACTTAATGTTTATTTTGAATATATTCATTTATCCACAAGGATAGTATGCTACCATGGATGAACGCAAAAACATGAAGTTTTTAAAAAGCCTCTATCATATACTAAGAACCTAGAATATATATACTGAGAACAAAAAAAAATTCTTTTTTTTAACCTTGTACAGGAAATGAACTAGATAAAAGTATCAAGAAAGAAAGCTAACATCAAAATGCAAATAAAAACAAATGCTATGTATTCAAAATACTTGTTAAAATTTGTGACTAGTAGCTTCAAGTAAGATATACCCCTAGAACTTGGAATAAGATTTAAAAAGAAAAGATGTTGATCAAACCAGAGAGTTTTAACAAATCTTTCAGATACTAAAATCTATTTGATTTAATAAGCATCTGTGGGGGGTCCATTCTGGGCTGGGCTTAGATAAGATACACTATAATTTTATTAACATAAAATGTCTGAAGGGTGGTAGGCAGCAGAGTCCAGAACAGGAAAAATTATCAAAATCAAGAATTAGGTCTTAGCACTACGGAGAGGAGAGGCTACTTAGAATCTAATGACTAATCTGGACTATACAGACAGAATGCCCCTGAAAGAAACCGAGAAGGCAATACTACCAGGAAATCACAACTGATAAAGAAAATCTTTGCTTTATTCCAGATCATTTATTGAGCATTTGCTATGAGCCAGATAATGTAGATACAAAGATGGATAAAATGGATTCCCTTCCTGCCCTCAAGGAGCTTTCAATCTTCTAGAAAACTACATACCAATAATTGCTTTGGTTCCTTTCCATCTGAAATACTGTTCAGGTGGAGACAAATGACCAGTACTGTTTTCTAGGAGAATATACCCCTGACTGTAGGCTGATGATTATCAACTACTTTCTAAAACTAGGTAGAATGAAATCTGGTCACCCCTGGGTAAACTGATACAATGAATTTCTAAAATAGCAAAACTAAGACCAGATCATGTAGCCAAAGTAACTCACAAAGAGACAAGGCCTGTCTTCTAATAGCCATTATCCAGAAGAGTCTCTGGATCTTAACAAAGAATGAAATGCAAAACTTACTTTTTGGCGAGCGCTCTTCTTTCCTCGGGTGTGTAATCTAGAGAACCTATGGCTCCCTCTCCTTTTGTTGGCATAAACCCAATGATGGCTAGTAACGCTGTTCTTACTGAAATAAAACGTAAATATCAATCTAAGTTGCTTATAAGAGGAATTGGGTTGTTCACTCTGGAAAAAGAAAAAAAGACTCAGGCTTTCACTGAAGAGGTACAAGTAGGGTGGATGTATTAAAATGGTGGCAAAAATCTAGGAAAAGCAATTTGCATTATTTATTTAATAATATTAAATTATTTATATGAAACAGCTTTAGCCTCAAGAGAGTATTACACTTAACAATTGTGAATTGAGTGAGGTTATATAAGATTTACATTCACTGTAAATTAATACTCACTACTCCAGGAAGGCTGCCAAGTCTCAGGATGATGCCCTGAGATGCTCAAGCAGATTTTCTTGCCTACTTCAAATCGTCCATTAGCCTGAGGAATAAAGAGGCATTTAAATATTACATATGTATGTGCTTAATGTTTTATAATAGTATGTTATATAAAAATAACTTTTAAAGGTAATTTTAGAAGAATGTAATCTCCAAAGGGACACAGGTTTCTGTCCTCTTACAGACACCCCACACATATTTTTTGGATCCTGAATAATGTATAATATAAGGTGTTTTTAGATGTAGCACCTTTTTGAAACTGAGTTGCACAACTGGAAGCTAAATAAATGACACATAAAGATGTGCTGATGTCCTCCTCTGTGGCTAGTATGGTGCGAGGCTCAGTGAGGGATCTCAAAGAGAAGCTATGCAGAGGCTAGGATGAAAGCTAAGGACTAGGCACCACCTAACTAGACAAGGGTGAGGAAGGCTCTGAGACGGCAGTGACTTTCAGAAGAATGATACAAGTTCTCAAGACCAGGGGGCAGGAAGACTAGAGATAACGATTACAGTTTTGTTGGGCATGATTCTATATCTCGATGATGTCCACCGTGCAGGTAGAAATGTACTACACACTGATGGCAGAAGATTGGCAATTTTGGTACCTGACTTCACAGAGGTAATCACTGAAGCCATTTGAAAGAAACAGAAGAGCGGAAGTCTGAGCCTGTGGAATATCCACACTTGTAGAAGGGAACAGTGAAGAAGAAGAGGCATGAAGAATGTAAGCTCCCCAAGGGCAGAGATTTGACTTATTCTCTGCCATACCCACAGGGTGCATGACATGTGCTTAATAAATATTTGTTGAATGAAAGTTGTGTGGAAGACTTTTCAAAAGAGAGGATGTTAACCAGAAAGAACAAAGGTTAAAAATCAGGAGGGCAGCGCTGTTTCTCAGCCAGTATGCTAAGCATGGCCATAACACCGAAGCATTTCTGTAGCTGAACAGCTGCTGCCCAGAGCACATGGACGCATTTCCTCACGCACCAGCCTGACCCCTAGACCACCGGCTCTCCCCACGGTCAGGCAACTAAGTGACACCTAACACAACTGCAACCTTTCTTTTTCACCATTTGCTCCCCATGTGTGTCAGATGTTTAACTAGATGAAATAGGATTAAGACTAAGAAGAGGCAGGGGCATTTCTCAAACCGGTCTCTGAGACTGGTGCAATGAGCATGCTTCCCCAGGCTGCTGTGTGTGGAAACCAGGCCGCAACAAGCTAACCTTGAGCAAGGAAGCCTGGGAGGTTATCTAAGAGAAATAGGACACAGTTTAAAGTGGTAGCAGAGATACAGAAACGTTTCTGTGCAGTTTTTTTTGCTTTACTCAAGGCCAGGGGATATGTTAAACAGACATAAATTCAAGAAATAAAGGCAAGGAAGCTTAACAGTTAAGAGAGGAATTTACTCATGGAAAAACAACCCAGGAAAGATAAAATTTGATCAATAGTTTTCCTTCACATGGAGATAAAACATATGAAGACAGAGAAATTCTAAGATCTAAATAGCAACAATATAGCTAAAATTTACTGAGGACTGTCAGATCTTACACTAAGAGCTTTATGTAAAAACGCAGAAGCTGAGGAACAGTGTAAGAAAGGTCAGAAGTTGAAAGGCATGTCAGAGGTATAAAACATTCACTACTTTTCACCGAGTACTTGCTATGTGCCGGACACTGTGCCTACACTCTGCATACATTAATTCATTGAATCCTAACAATCATGCAATGGCAATGATGTGTTCATCAGCATCAATAATTCCAAGGAATTATTTTGGGGGGAAAAACACTGTAGTACCAAGGCCTGGTCCCCAAAGGCAAAATTATAATAATGTTCCACTTTATTTCTTAATGAAAACAAATATTCTGACTACACTTTGCAGCCACCATGAAGAGTTAAACCATAAGCATTTTAAAAAGCCTAGAATTCTATAGCATCTTACTACACTGACAGATAGTGGCTGCAATGAGGGGTGAAGACTTGATAATATGGGTGAATGTTGAAACTACAATGTTGTTCATATGAAACCTTCATTAAGATTGTATATCAATGATACTTTAATAAAAAATAAAATAAAATCCATAGGCCCCTCCAAGAAGAAAAAAAGAAAAGCCTAGAATTCTTACTGTTAGGAGAATAATGCTTGGTGGTTTCATGGGGTATTCTGGTGGCAGTACTATTCGTCCATGATAAACCCCTCCATCAAAATCAGAATCTGGGGGCCCTCTAACTGTGAAGTGCCATTCAAAAAGGTTATCCTGAATAAAAACAGTAAGAAAGGAATCAATAACATTAAGAGTCATTATCTTATGATTGTTTTAATCAATGAGTATTAGAAATATTCTTGGATAAGGAAAATTAAATGTTTTACATTACTGCTAGAAGTTTCTGATGCACAAAGTGTTTTAAGCATAAAAGTTATTAATAAAGCTATTTAATCTAGCTTTCGTGTCCTATAGAGTTAAAATCTTTTTTAAACAAGTACATTTTAAAAATCTGATCATTGTTATGCACTTATTTAAGATTACATATTTAATTAAGCTGGAAATTAATCCTTAAATACTAACTAGTGATAATTATTATATAATCAAATAATTACTATAAATTTGATTATTTTAATAAACTTTTAAAAATTATCCCTCACAGATGCCTAAGGGCTTATTAAAAATGGTTATTTTAATACCTATGCTATCAACATCATCTTGCAGTTACCAAGTACTTTACAGTTTGCAAAATACTTGCACATATATTACATTTTTTTCTATTATCATGGAAACCAGACTGAGTACTTTTAAATACCCTCCTTTTACAGATGTGAAGAATGAAGAGAGGCAGAGATGCTTATGCAAAAAGTCCAGACCAGCTGCAAAGGCCCCTCAAAGGGTTAGCTCTTTCAAACTATAAAGGTTCTGGGGTTCTTTCCACTTCCCCTCCCTCCCTCATACTCGAGACCTAAAACAATTTGGCATCTGAGACTCACTTTATGGAGACTCGAGTTCTGCTTCTTCTAAAATGTCTGATTCAGAGTGTGGCTAATGACATACTCAGGCAACACAGGGAATAAACTCTATCAATCTATCAATAAACCACATCAGACACACCTGTAATGATCCAAGCAATGAAAAAACAATTTTAGGAATTCAAAATATTAAAGTATTAAAACCCATGTGTAGAAGATGGAGACAGGAACTAACCTCTAAAGGCTGTGCATGGTAATGGTCTGTTGGATCTTTCAATTCTGCTGCTTCTTTCATTAAACGTTTAACAGCTAAAATAAAATGTGTAAGACAGAGACATTTAAAACATACTTTTCCAAGTGACTAGCATACATTTACAAACTTAATGAAAAGAGTTCCTATTTCAACAAAAAAATGTGTAGAAGAGAAGTTCAACTGAGTATACGGTAAAGGTTTAATTGTGGAATAATAGTATTAATTGGGGGGAAATAAACGGTAGCTAGGCAATAGAGGAGTTATATATCAAATTAAATACATAAGGAAGTCTCATCAAGACACTTTTTTTATTAAGCACTTCTATATACTTCCTATGTGGTAGCACTCAGACATTAACTCATGTAACCCTCAAAACAATGGAATGAGAAAGGTACTGTTTTTAACCCCCATTTTCCAGACAAACAAGACAGGGAAAAATTACATAATTTGTCCAAGGTCACATAGCTAGAAAATGACTGAGCTGGGATTCCAACACAGGCAGTCCAACTCTACCTTGTTGAAGTGTCTATATTAACAAAATGTACCGCTGGGATTCATACTCATGAACAGTAAACTTCCTGTGTCTTCAACTTCTTGGGACTTATCACCCAGTATCTTGCATTAATTTAATGGGACTGTCCCCAGAGGTCACTATCTCCATAGCCCTAAATGATTCCTTTTTGAAGTGATCTTCATCTTAATAAAAACCTCCAATCTATGACCTCACAACCTTTTGTACTGCACCTATACCTATATTCATTTCCTTCTTTATCCGACATGTTTGGCTCTTAGGAGTTCCTCTTTCATACTCCCCTAATAAAATTCAATCCTAGCTGACCGAATCCAGTCATCTTCTTATTTGGTGTCTATACTCAAACAGCAGAGGATTACAGAAGGGAGTTAAAAGTCACAGAGGTAGACACATTCACGCCATTTAAGTTACTATCAACAATCATCAATGGAGTACAACCCCACTCAAACTTCCCCTATTTCTCTAGCCAGCCCACCGGCCCACTTTCTCCAACCAGCACACCAAGACTATTTCACACCTATTTACTCACTTCTCATCCTTTTCTCTTCCACCTCTTTCAGTTGATGGCACAGCTTCTATTTCCATGATAAATGACTGTTAATGACAGCCTGTCACAATCTACCACCCCATCTTTACCTGCAACATCTTTCCTTCCCTATTGGCTCTTCCCGCTGCCTTCATCCCAAGCTTTAGGGGCTAAAAAATGTCAGGATACTAGTATAGGGTAGAAAAACCAGGGAAAAGCCAGATAGCCCAAGGCTCCTCAAAACTCTGCTTGAAAATCAACTGATGTAGTTCAATACACACCATTAAGAGAGGTATGTACCAGGTGGGCACTTAACCTGGGAGCAGACAAGAGAAAAGGAACCAGATACTGACATCTGAAAGAAAGACACAGGAGCGCATGAACAGGCAGAGGA